CACTGGTGCCTGTAGGAAACCATTCTGTCTCTCCAAATTCTGTCCTGCTAGCGGCTTCCTGTCCACAGCACAGGACAAATTTACAACCATCAACATAAAATCACAATAAAAGACCATCACTGAAGTGTACCAGCACTCCTAGTTTCTATGAAAATAGCCTTCCATCTGACTGCACATTCTAAAAAATATTATGTTATGTACTTAGTAGATTATCAACAGAGCTGTACATATTTCCATCAGCAATGTATACAGTTAAGGCATTTATTAAAATTGGGACATTAAAGATAATGAAACAAAACGGTGTTTCTCCCTCCCTAGAACACTGTGATCCCTATGCATTAGCAAGCTGACGTGCCACAGCATGACGGCTGTTTTTCCCATGAGAAGCAGTCCTCCATTTGTTTTTACACCAGACAAGTGAGAAGGAGGTGCACTGAGCAGCTGAAACTATTTTGGTGAGAAGGTGGCACTGTTATCATTATCTCGTTCTCAGTTTTTTCCCTCCTAAATGGAGTCAATGTGTCAGTTTTGAATGCAGCTACGCTAACATCCTCAGGACAACCAAATGGTCAGAGTGACCAACAGCCTGTTATGCTTACACATTCGTACATTTCTCCCTTGTACTATCAGGAAATAAACAAAGTGTGCCTGATCAGTCAGCTACTAAGTAGTACCTATGCAAACAATTGCTTTTAAATAATTGCCTTTTAATATTGCTTCCCTTCCCTGATGACTCTAGCCTACATCAAATAAAATGCTTTTGGAAATGACTGTCATACATGAGTGGCATCAACAACTTTTGATCTATGTCTTCTGAAGGGCAATACAGAATTTTGAAGTAGAAAACTGAAAATAACATACAGAAAGGATCTGTCTTTATTTCTTAGGGAAGGGAATAGTCTTTCCTTCTAATATCATTGCCGGAGAGCTCATGATTGAGCTTTGAAATCACCATCTAAGGGGGTTCCAGTATGTGTATAAAGCCACCCACCACAAAGGAGGGATTATTTGGAGATTAGTGGTCAGTATAGCAATTAGGGAGTCATTAAGCAAGTTTAAGACTTCATTCACTGTAGATTACAGCAAAGTCCTGCCAAAGAGAAACATCAATAAACAGCCAGGGCAGTAACAAGGGGCTCTTTGTAGTGAGCTGAGTAAGGCCTTGTGATCTTCAGGCTGGACAATGAATTAGTCACAGAGCAATTCTATGAGTCCCTAAAACCAGCACACTGCTAAGCACCAAAGATAATGGCCAGCATGTTTAGGACAAACAGACCCTTCAAAAGATAATCTCAGGGAGTGGAAGGAGGAAGCTGGAGAGATAACCACAGCCGGGACCAAGCCTTTGCCTTACGTTTCCTCACTCGAGAAATTCCGCTGACTCTCCACTGGGAAGGGGTCAGTGTTCCAGACAGCCAGCGTGCATGTATCATAGCAGTAATTAGGTATGCATGTCCAAATTACTTTAGTGAAGCTGCAAATAAGTGCATCTACGTTGTAACAATTGTTTTTAAGAGAATTCTGTTGTTTCTAAGTTCACACTGAAAGTTAAGTTACTACATTAGAATTATAAACTCTAGACAGTCATCGTACTTACTAGGATGAAATCTCAGTATAACTGCTATACAACTGATGGCTTTTTAAAGCCCTCTGATAAAACTGTCATCTGTAGAAAACATGTTTTAAAATGTAATATAAAATATGTACTTTCATATAAAACTACTTAAAATAGATTTTAATGAATGCTTGGACTTAAACGTTGGTCCTGTTTACTTGCCTATAAAAAAGGAAATACAACAAAAAACCTAATTGCATCAGTTTCTTCCTAAGCAAAAATTTTGTCATAGAATTCCAGGTTAAGGAAAGCTTGTAAGTTAGCATGCCTGAGGACAGAGGAGTGGTTGTTAAAAACAAACAAACAATAAAGTGCAAGTGAAAAACAGATTTTTAATGGACCAACATTTCAAAATTGTACCAATATTATGATTTAGAAGTCAAGTGCTTTTAATTCTTGCCTATTTATTTTTCTATAAAGAACTTTTAGTTCCTCCAAAATACTGGCTTTTATTATCTTGGAAGACTTGCATGAAAAAGAATAACTCCTACAAGTTTTTCCAGCTCATATTAATCTAACAGGTTGTAATTTTTCTTTTAGAAAAAACGTTACTGAATCACCAAGCGATTTTCGCCATTAGAGTTCCACTTTACTTTCAGCTTCATTTACTTCAACCCGATTATTTTTCCACAAGAGCCGCATTTTCCCGAGACAATAAAATTCCTAATGTTAAGGAACCGTCATTATGTCTAATTCTCACCAAGAGGGGATTACCTGTCCAATTTATACACTCGGTTTTTGAATCCTCTATCTGCCACAACTTTTTGTTTTTCAAAATCTGCAATTTCACAGAGAAAGATTTTGCATTTAGAGGTTTTGTTAGAGGTTAAACACAGTGGGTATCACAAGTACATATCTGTTTCCTGCTGGTGATAATCCAGGATTATGTAACCTTTAGTGGGTGATAAATTCAAGCACAAACCAGCCAGAACAAATATATGTAGGTTATTAGCAGAATGTGTAAACATCTGCAATCAGGCAATTATTGAGATAAAAGTGAGTTTGTTATAGCTTTCACTTATCTCTAGAAATCTTCATCAACTATAAAGTAAACTAACCCAGAAAAAACAGGGGTGTAATTCACTGAAGAGGTACACTTTAAAATAATTCATATTATTCCCATAGTGAATATTATTTTTCAAATGTTAAATGTGCTAAATACTTTGTAAAATAAAATGTAAAATAAATTCTTAACCAGGGAACTGTAGTTTGACAGTAACAAACAATAACAAAAAGTCTTTAAATCAAGTAAAAATTTGCTAAACACAAATTTCGAGGATTTTAATAGAAAAAAAGCTATGGAATTAAACACAAAACAATAACAGCATCAATGCAGATTAACAGCCATGATTTCAAGCATTTATTGATATTTATAATGCTGTTTTCCAAGACAGACTGTGTTGGCACGTGTCAACAAGAAATGTAACGGGACAACTGAAAGAACAAGAACAGACCGTGTTAGAAAGGACAATAATCACAGCAACCACGAATCCCCTAAATCTCAGTTTATTTCTAATCAGATGGAAAGAAACTAGATTACTCTGTGTTTTCAAACTATTTTATAGGATCAAGCATTTACAGCACGGTGGTATATCCACAGTGTATTCCAGTCAATAGAAAAATACGTTACTGAAACTTTAACTTTTATTTATCCTAAAGATGAGTGTTCTTGTCATTGAAATTATTTTTTGAAGATTTTTTTCCCTTCATGGCTTGAATGCTTTACAAGATTTTGCTTAGTGGAAGAACTTAATTATTGAATTAGAGTGCATGTTTTTCCATCCGTTATCACTATTTTTCCATTTCAGCAACAATCCAGACTTTAAGAAAGCATCTATCTAGTAAGAACTCATAACATCATGGAATTATTTAAGTCATTATTTTGGCTGTGATATTAATAAAGAGTAAGTATGTGCATGTATAATACAGTGGTATTTAATTAAATTTGGTCATCACTCTGTTCATGTGTCCAAGTTTGGTCAGTCCTGGAAACTATTGGTTATTTGACATGTGGCTTCATTTACACTGTGTAGTTCACTAAACTCTTGATTGTCTTCACCAGTCTATTGAGAGTACTGGATAAACAATGAGTTGATTTAATTTCAGCCAAATGTAAATAAATTAGAAAAATTGTGTACTTATATATTGTTATTTATAAATGAATGAATTGTCCTCTTTACCTTTTGAAATATATTTACCTTTTGAAATACTGATTCTAGGTTTCAGGTGCCCATCAACTTCCTTCACGGCCCTGAAAGATGGACTCTACTGTAACCATATATGGGGGTTACAGAGCTGTGCCTTATGGTTTCTGTCATGGGCCTTCAAACCTATATTTTGGGATTAAAAAAATGTTTGGTAGTTGTGGCCACAGTATTCTTTCCGTCTGGCTTTTTGCTTTTTTCGGGATGTGTTATTTCCTCCCTGGGGAGAGGCAGCACAGTGTGCTGGTTCAGAACACAGACCCTCTACCGAGACCTCACAGTTTCACATTAGTTTGGGGGTTTGTATGTGTATTCCTTTTGATTGAACTTAATAAGCTCTGGCCTCTTAATTGATCATTATTTTATTCATTCTCCCTGAATCAGCTTTATTATCCATGGAATCCACGGACTACTCCAATTTGCATTTCCCAGTCTCTTCCTTTCTGTGGGCACACTCCACTCTTTTTTTTTACTACATTCCTTTCGACTGTGGCTATCTTGCCACTTGCGTAACTAGGACAAGATACTTCATCTTTGTAGGCGACTGCAGATGCCTCATCTACAAGGGCTTCAAAATAAACCTGTTTTGGTGAGCTTTTGTTAACTAAATGAATTAATATAAGGGAGAGAAAAAGCTTAACATGCTTATGGAATGCAGAACATACAGGCCCAGTGTGAAATGGTTGATGCGGCAGCTGTTCCAGAGGTCGTCTCCCCAAGAAACATCCTAAAATGTTTTGCCAGATTTAGACAGATGACCTAAGTTCCTGTAATCAGTGTCGTCCTAAATAAAACACACAAAAGGTTGCTGTGTTTTTTCCACTTTTTATTCAAATGCTATCTTATGTTGAAAGCTGTTAAGGCTAAAATCAAATAAACTAGGTCTCATGCTCCACGAGTGTCATATTTTAAGACTGGAAATATCTCCGAATGACTTTAGCGACATTACTAGTCTTTCGGTGGGTAACAACACCATGCCAAATTTCCGGGTAGTCTCATTTTCTTCTTTTTTAAATAAATCACTTTTATTGTTATTTTATTACAGCTATCCTTGTAGTGTTCCTTTATAAGAGGAACATGTTCCACGGCCGTGTAAAGGTACAGAGCAATGTTTTAAAGCTGAAAGTGACAGAGTAAATAGAAGAAATACAAGGCGTTTCACCACATGGATTTTTTTCTTAAAAAAAATGGAACACTTCACAAATTTGCGTGTCATCCTTGCACGGGGGCCATGCTAACCCTCTGTGTACCGTTCCAACTGTAGTGCAGGTGCCGCTGAAGCGAGCAGCGAATGGGTTTTTAAAGAGCTGGCTCTGACTAGATTTCTGCAAAACTCAGTTAAGAAAAATCGTCTAAGTAGGAAAAAAGTGAATCATCTCTTATTCTTGTCATGATACTCCTCCAATTTTAACAATTGAAAATATTATGTTATTTTTAATACTTTTTTAAACTCAAGGAAAATAAGTTAATGATATTTAATTCTAGAGTCCACACATCCATCATTAATTTGGTGGCAATGATAGGCAGTAGGGATATTAGGAAGGGTTTCTGCCTATCACTGACTTTCAAGTATTCAGCTATATTTGTACCTAATAGTAAGGGGAAGAAAGCTAATAAATACTCTTTCTATGAAATAATACTTAAATGATGTAATAAAAAGAGAGATTAAATGAATTAAACGCTATTATTTCCTCAGTAAAAATATATAAGCTTATTTGCTGTATGAGGTATATGTGGAATGGATGTGCTAATTCCTAACTGAACAACTATTAAAAAATATATGAACAACTCAGACATGTTAGAACATATTCATTTAAAACTCAGTTAAGAAAAAGTATCTTCTGGATACTAAGAAGGCAGCAAGGTTATCTTTACATTCTGCCTAGTTTCCCCTCATCTATCATTTCCTTATCTGTCTTTCATTAAGCAGATATTCAGAATTATTTATTCATTTATATATTCTAAAAAATCAATAAAACATTTACTAGATGTGCTGTATTACAAGGATGAATAAGTAATATCAAAGATACAACTTTTTACTTGTGTTCAATTATATTGGGACAATAAAGAAGTGGAAGGCATGAAACTTGATCTCAAGAATTTTACAGAATACTCAAGAGGACATACATACACAAAATAGTAAAAACTTATTGGCTTCCTGTCATGAGAGTGTTATCCTCTCCATTCTGAAACTTCCGAGTACCAGTCAAGAAAATGGGTTTAAGGCTTACGTCTCCCATAAATATTTTCTATGGACAGTTCATTTTATTGCTTGTTTACTATCTGCCAAATTTCTTAACAGAAGCAGGAGAGTATATAATTTTCTAAAAATATATGTCAAATTATAAATACTTTACATTTACTTTTAGTAATGTTTTTATTTTGAAATTTCAAATTACATTAAGGTATGAGATTGTTTTATTTATTCAAAAGGAGTATCAATCCAAAACTTTGAAGACTTGTAATAAGTTATCTCAAATTTCCATTTCAGATATTCATTTAATCAAAGACTTCTCTTATGGAGATAAATGATTTTCATAGTGACAGAAACCATCAACTTTATTTATTTCTAAGAATAAGACTAGGAGTCACAGTTACCTAAACTGATTTGAATCATAGCATCCATAACGTCTTTGTATATTTTGTCCATTTACATAGGTTCTTGCCTCCAAATGTGCATGATAATGTCATATGTTTTTGCTTCTTCAGCATTTGACAAATATCTAACTAAATTAGACAAAGATCATGTTTTCCTAACATGTTACATATGACATATAAACTGAGTGATCATGGGAAATTAACGCAGGTGTTTAGAAAACAGAATATAGCTGCTAATCATCATAACTTGTGATTCATTAGTAATCATAACTTCAAATTTGGGTTAATTTTCATCAATTAAAAATGATGAATGTTTGTTTTATAAATATGAATTGCTAAAGAGACCAATTAGGGTTGTCAATCAACTCTTTTCCTTTGCCTTGACAAAATATGAAAAAATTTAAAAAGCATGTTCATACTGTGGTGAGTTATTAAATTGATTTTTACTAGGGAAGTTTGTTTTATAAAATCACATAAGTTCAAGTTACATTTCCTTATAGATCTACTTCATTAAATTTCCAGAACTTTTCCCACCTTCTATAATTCCTTTTTAATGTATTTTAAATTAAAAATTTTGATGTTCTTAATACATTTAAAATGTGAGATCTGTTATTAATCACAAATTGAACTACATCTTTCTAAAGGACACCTGAACTATATTATGATGATTTGATACCTTATACGGAGAGTTCACATGTTAGAGAGGAAAAATTGCGACTAATCCTATAAAACAGACAACTTCATAAACTAAGATATTTTATTCAGTCCTAATTAGCAGGTATTTATTAAGTACCTCCTATACGATGGTTGTTCTAGAATTTTAAAAAAGTTAATTCTTGAAAAATGGTAGAAAGACAAGATTACATCATTATAAAATAATTAAAGAATAATATGTAATTTTATAGTAAAGGAATATAAATACTAATCCCATTAAGAATCTTAAGGTATACATGGGATATAATACATATAAATAAGGACTAGATAGGGCTTCCGACTGCTTAACTGCTCCTAATTTGACCTTTCATCAGTAATACACTGACCTTTGACCATGGACTCACTCTTGCCTCTGGATGTGGGAAATGTGGATGACTAAAAAGGTTTTGGGGGGGCTAGCCTAGAGGTCCCTTAACATTTCAAATGTCTCAGAACTAGAGAAAACAATAAAACCTAACTCTATTCTCTGTTTCCTACAGATGTTTCCTGGGAAGTGGTAAGAGGCCAAAAATATGGGACTACTATCATCCTTTCCTTCTGTTTCATAAATAAGTAATTTTCCTCTCAGCAGTGCTAAGTCACCCTGACCACCTTTGACCTGCCCTTGCCAATACTAAGACTGGGCAAAGCCCAGTGTGATTCAGCTCACACATTGGCTTCAAATGTGTTCTGCAGAGCTCCAGGGTACAAGAGAAGAATTAGCATCATATTACAATGAATGACTACATTCATTCATTCATTCATTTATTACCTTGGAGGACCACATGAGGCTTCTTTCTTTCTCTCTCTCTGTGTATGTGTGTGTTGGGGGATTAGGATTGGGGGCAAGATAGATCCTGCTGCTTAAAACTTCTTCAGGAGTCCTACTGATGGAGAGTCTCACAGGAAATTAGTAATTATGAAAATAAAGGTTGGCTAACATCGTTAAGGAAGACTCAGCTAAAGGGAAAGGACTTGCAGTGTTGATAAAATTTGCAGGAAACTGAAAATAAGAGAAAGGGATCTTTATATAGAAAGGTGGCAATGAACCAGAATAAGTGGACTGCAAAAACTAAATGAACAAATAAAAGGACCAGTTGAAAGGTATATGTGAAAGAGCAGGAGACATATCATAGTAGAAAGGCGACACTAGATTATAAGGGGACTTGGGCTTCAGTATGAGATGTTTTATGAAGAAGGAGAACAATTCCGGCAATGAGAGATGATGAGTCTGACGGCTTTATGGGGAATCCCATGACGTAGAAAAGTTGAAAGCAAGGTTGCTTTCAATTACAGATCCACTGCAATAATACAGTCATAAGACAATGAGGTCTAGTGTTATGAAGATGACAGTGGGAAAAGATAAAAGGGTCCAGAAAGAACATTCTTCTACACCTATACAACTATTATAAATTAAATAGTAAAAGAAGTCATTCATTTGTGCTCCAATTCAATAAATATTAAATGCCTGAAACATTCCTACAATATCCCATTGGGTAAGACTCTAAAAAATGTAACAGAACAACTTAGACATAATCGATCCTCTCGTGAAGCAAGTGTGTAAATGAGGGACACTGAACTAAATGTACTGGCAAGAAAGGCAGAGATTTTCTTTCTCCTTTGTTCACTGTTATATTCCTAGTGCCTAGGATGGTACCTGGGTACCATATATGACAAGGGCTGTCCAGGAAGTATCCAGCCAGGTAATACAAAAAACAGAGACATTTATAGAAGAAGATATAACATACAAGAAACACTGTACATAAGACAATGACTCCTCAGTCCTCTTCAGAGTAGGCACAGGGGGACCTCACACATTTCTCCCAACTGCTATCAGCTGCCCTGTTGTATTTTCCTGAATCTCATCAGTGGTGTGAAATCAATTCCATTTCAAAGGTGATTTTAGTTTTGGGAAAATCCAGAGTCACCTGGATGATTTGATGTTTCACTAAAACACTCCACACGAGACATGATGCGTGAGCGGGCATATTGCTGTGATGAAGCTGCCAATCACCAGTTGCCTACGGCTGCAGCCTTCTGAATCATCTGAATAGTTTCCACAGAGGAATGTTCAACCTTAGAGCAAAATTTGATGCAGACTCACTACTCTACTCACTCAGTCATTTTGAGTGTGATGACCACACAGTACACATGCTCACTCAGTGGTGTCTATAGCCCCCACTGACTAGTACAGTGAAGTCATCATTTTTCTTGCATGCACATTCCAGTCCACTCTCCTTGGCTGCCATGTTACACTGATGTTGCAGAAACCATTCTCATTATATTAACAATGGATGGACTTTTTCCAGACAGACCTTGCATTTGTTAAATAAATGAATGAACAATGCAGTGGGCATGGTGGACTTGGTGAACTTACCTGGAGGATATGGGACTTAAGCTGAAACCTAAAGACTGAAAAGGAGTTAGTGACTAAATGGTGGGGACAGGAACAGGGGCTACTGCTCACAGCAGAAGACACAACTTGTAACATTTAAAATGTGGAAGATCTGCAAACTTGGAGACTAGGTAAGAAATGGAAAGAGATGACACTGTAAAGATCAACAAAGGCCAGAGAATGAGAATTTTATCATCCAAGTTAGGAAGTCTGAACTTCACCCAAAAAGGAGCCACAGAAAAGATTCAGGCAAGAGGCAATAGTCTATCTCACCTCTGGGAAGTCACTGTATCTATCTCAGCTTAGGCTTCCTAATGTGGAGAGTAAGGCCAACAGCAGCTACCAGGGCCAGTGACTGTGGGGATTAAATCTGATAATGTTGCAGTAATTGGCCCAGGTTAGTAACTCAAGATAAGGGAAGTTCCACAGCTCTCTTCAGCTTCTCTTGAATGGAGCTGCCCCACTTTATAAATGATCACAATAATATTCCAAAGTTAAAATATCATTGGCATCAGCCTGGATAAAGAGTTTAGTGTGTCTTATATGAATATTCTGCCTCCTTTTTGCAATGCCAGTGAATGGGGACCTGATGGCCTTAAC